CTTAAACTAAGCGGGAAAGGATATAGACAATAAACTTTATCGCTATCCCACCTGATACACGTTACAATAATCTGTGGAAATTAAAAGGAAATTTGTAAAGAAGACATATTCTTCATTTGAATTACGCTTTCGAGGGCAAAGAGGTTATGTTTCGTCGCGATATTTTTCCTTCGTATTGAGGTTCATATTCATGGAATCACAACAAGTATTTTAATCAAGACCCAAGACCCAAGGAAGTAGCGTAGAAAAAAGCGTGCAAGGCGCTGTTTATTCAAATTTATACAGCCGCAAATTCTATTGAAGTTCCCATTGGTCTGAGCAATTTGTAAATGGATCGCGGTTTATGCTCCACCACCCTTGCATTCGTATTGTAGTTATGAATTCTTTACCCTATTCTATTGTCAGGTAATGAAGGGTGGGGCTAAAAGGGGGAGAGTATAATGCATTTCAATTTCGCTACTGAACCATTATCGTCTAGATATTCAGGTGATGGTGGAAACTGACGAGACAGGCTGCAACCAATACATTGCTTACTCCATACCAGCGTGTAAGTTGAATTTTTCATGCAACAATCTTAAGCGTTATAAGAAAAAACATCATTTACTTCTCAGTAAGCTTCGTAGTTGAAGAGAAAGAAGCCAACTTCCCTTCCTACTTTCCTAAATACAAAATAATTACATTTTAATCAACACTCCTCCGAAATTGAGGTCCTGAAACAAATTACTCGTAGCCTCTACAAACAGTTCAAGTTCAAGTAACCTCCGAGTACTTTAATGAAACAGAAAATAAGACCACAGTGTAAGGACGGGTTTACATGGAAAATTAAACCTTTGCTCGCATTCAATAATTTTTGGTAACAAACATCGAAATAACGCAATTTTTGAAGACGACTAATATTAGAGTAACGTTGGAGTGAACACATTTCTGGGACTGTTTAACTAATCAATTGTGTGTACGGGCAAGACTTTTGTGCCCTGCCCGAAACATACCTACATACATACATTCACCATCATTTAGTTACGGATATAGTACATTAAAAAAGGAAAATATATGTACGAAAATTCATAAAAGGTAAGGAAAGTAAGTGGCTATTGCTGTCAGAAGTGGAAATATCGCACACAGAACACAGTTGAGAGGTAACTGTAGGCAGAAGTTCAAAATCTGGTTATTTCCAGCCAGGATGCTAGTGGAGACTTGCCTTAAGACTGTACCACAGCTTCATAGAACGAAGTAAGAAACTGCAGCTGTAATCTCCATTGTAGAGGCTATATTCGTTGTAATGAAGGAGGATCTTTCAAAGGGGCTATTATTTTAACAGCAGCTCTTGGTCAATTTTTGTACCCCTTTGTTGAAGTGACCTAAATAATCAGACATTGTTTTGACTATTTCGTAATCTCTTTCGAAATTTAAATACAGAAATCAAATTTGATTTTTTTTATTTCGCTTTTCTAGAATACAGTTAGATCTAACCAATGCTCAAATTTGTAGATTACGGTTACTATGGGTTTTTCTCTTTCTAATGACATCACGAAAATTCAAAGAACAAAATAGCCTCTACATTGTTGTATATCTTTACTTATAACCATTATAGTTCGACCTCGAATTTTATTAAAAATAAATGATCGAAGTGGAGTCTAGTAAATAACCAATACATTAATTTAGATTAGCTATCAGATGTGAGCATAGCTTAGAGTCCTTGCCAGACCGCACTGTCCAAAACCAATTATGTCCACAGCTTGGCACCGACTGCAGCGCGACATAATTTTGGCGTACATATAAGAAATAATATACTAATACTAACGTTAAAATCTCCATGTGTATCATTGTTACAGTACAAAGGGATTTTCTTTAAATAAGCAAATGAAATACATAAAATAGATAATTGTAAAATCCGAATTTAGATACTTTTAAAATTATTGTCTTCGTAAATTTTATGTTCTGCGGTGTTATGATTCAAACCAGACTCAAATACTGGCAACTATGGGAATTTCTGCGAACTGGTTATGGTGATGGATTGTTTCCATGATTTTATGGAGACATGGCAATCCGATGTGTTATGCCCCACAGTCGGCAGCGGTGTGATGGAAATAAATGTCTGACAATGCGATTTGTGACGCAATTTAATAGGTATTCTAATACCATTATAAATGAGTTTAATCGTTTTACATGCGTACTTACATCCCGGTGCACAGAGACCACGGTTTTCAATGTTCGGAGACATTCAGTTATTTTCTGGTTTTGTTTAATTTTTTTCATAACTTCTTTCTCTCTCTCTCTACGCTTCCTTATCTTAAAGAACATAGATTAAACATGCAATTGATTACCAAGTAAACGAAGTACCTAATATGACATTAATTATATGGTGTCTTTTTCGTAGCTTATCAGAGTTAGTAAGTAGTAAGCTGATTATGAAAGACTAGATTAGTCTATAATATGAATTAAAATATAATAATTACATTCATATAAGAAAGCAAACGAGACATAGTTCAAGTCATTAGAGTCAAACTAGTGTTATTTTGAACATAACATAAGCTACTTAATCAAAACACTTTAATAGTTTAAAACGCGATAGGTATTAGTTTAACTTATTTGAAAATTATTTTAAGTAGGTACGTTTCGGACATCTATATAAAACATACATATATACTATCTCAAACAAGACTTATTCTCAGGCTAACCCGAGATGTTTGAACAATATGACGTTACTAGCGGCACGTAACTGAAATGGAGCAACAAGATCGTCCACATTACACGCCTAATAAAATGAGGCTCTATTTTCTCTGGAGAGTTATAGCCGCACTATTCATATTGACGGGCGCCGCTACGACTTGGGGACTACTACAGGTCTAGTCGAATCGAAACGTTTTTATTTAAACCATGATCTAGAAGCATAGGACTTTAGAGATATATCGAATTTAAGTCCCATTAGACCAGACGTGTCTGTCCATCTTTTAAACAATCATTTAAGTCGAAACAATGAGATCTGAACTGCTGTTACAAAGGCACAAAACGATTAAATAAAACGCTTATATTTTAGCTGAAAAACCGAATATGTTCATCTTTTACTTTATTTTAATCTCTGACCTAAAAATATTTATAATCCTTTACTGTTGTTATTGTCGAAACAAATTCTAAAAATGTCGTTTTATTCACAACTAAACTAGAAATGTCTAGAAGATATACATCCAGAATAATCAATGGACTAACGCTATAGATCAAATCGCATAAGGTTACAGAAGATCGAACATTATTCAACTAAAAGTTGCGTGTGACATGCACTAGTATTATATGTGTCATGTCATTTACGAGGTGAGAATAATCTCATATGTTAGCGTGAACCAATATTAATAAGCTAGTTATGTAACTTAATCAACTTAAAACATATGGGCATGGGCTTATAAGGGATATCGCTTGCTTGTTTATTATTAGGGAAACTAAACTACGGTAACTGAAGCCAAATATTAACTATTCATAAAACTACCCACGCTATGTGTTTTCCACAAGATTCCAGTTCTTTGAGAAGAATTCCTGTAGTAGGGGGGAAATTCCAAGCACGTTTATTGGGCATGATGCGAGGCTCGCTTGTCTCTGAACTGGGCATTGCCCTACAATCCTGTTGCCATCGTAATGAACCAGTTTAAATTATGATGTGCTAAGATTTATGGGCTCGAGAGGATAAATCTTCAAATATACTACATAGAATCTCGCGTGTAAAAAACATTGCGGTTATGAAATGGTATACAAAAGTGAAAGACTTCACTTGCAATAACATTCAGTGTCAATACGTTTTTTTTAATTTTTCTTAAGATTCGCAAAATATCTGTTTATAAGTAAAACCCGTTTTTTCCAAGTTACCCGTTTTATTTGTTTTAATTTATTTAGTAATTATAAATAATTACTTCTTTTTCCTGTATTGAGTAACTAATTTTTTGATTAAAATAATTTAATTTAATAAATTAAAATTTTAAATACTAAAAATTGTTTGGTAGACAGTTTTACAGCTTAAAACGTGAATTGTTTCTTTATATATATAACGTATTTTAAAGACACTATTTAATTTAGTAGCTTTTTTCAAATCTCTTTTTAATTACTTTATATAACAAATCATCATTAATATGAGTACGAATAACTCAAAATATATAGAACGATTAATATAATATAAGACTGATAAATATATTTAATGGTCGTAACAAAATATAGAAATTATACAACAGTATTGATTCTATCAGACGCTTTCGTAAAGGAAAATACGTACTCAGGTACAAGATTTTCTCTAAAGATGTTTCCATTCACCGATACAAAGTACTTTTCGTGGAAACGCGAGCTTTTCTGCTGCTGAATCTTAATGTTTTTTCCCGTTTAATAATGAAATCGCTCCTTTCATCTATTCTTCGGTACTATCGTAGGAAAATAAATATTTTTCTAGCTTTTGCCGATATTTATTATGTTGATAAATATTTACTTATTTATTAGGTAGGTTCACACGCGCACATGTAACTCAACTTGCATTAATTGCGCTCAAAGTAATATTACCCTAAACTATTGAATATAAAAAATGCATATCCAATTGTTTTTATCCATAAAGAACATACACTAATGTTTTATCTTTTATTGTAAAACGACAATAGAATTCACCATTGAAAAAAGCGTACTTATGTTTGTTTGTCACTTGAGTGTAATGAAACATTTTTCATAACAAAGCTTTACTCGGCATCTACATAGAAGATTCCAAAGTAAATAAATCGAATCGTATGAAAAAAATAAACGAAAAAAATCCAAGGAAAAGATTGAGAACAGTGTTCACATTGAGGCTTGATTTCAATGGAAGTACAAGAATGTGTTTTATTAAATTAAGGAATTAAGAGACACGCTCTGCCCGGCCAATATAAAAGTGTACAGCGGCCACCGTACAGCACAAGTGAGAAGCGACTTCCAATGTCGGACTACTCACTTCGTCAATAACCAGTAGTTTTTATTAAAACCTTTTTTAGTTCTACGCAATGTTCGACAACGTTAACAACTCGGCCGACGGTGGCGCCATGGCTTACGCCTTCAAAATGTAAGTGCAATTTATTCCTCCAAAACACTCTTATATTCATTATCTACCTAATGATGTTCCCAGAAAAATCTCATCAAACCTTTTTAAATTATTTCCAATCTTGTTTTTATTTGTATTCCCATTTTTTTCCAAATTCTTGTCTCTGAATGTGTATTATATTTTGTTTACCTGCTTCTAAATAAAAAGAACCGTTTTATCTAATATTAATTATCCCTGATAACTTTATTATTTTTTACATGTTATTGCACATGAAGGCACTATATAATTTAAAAATTGAACGAAACGCTGACGATGCTGGTTCAAGTCCTGCCCGAGTCGAAAATGTTTTTAAATTTATTTTCTATTTAAATTATTAACTATCCCTGTTATAAATTTATTCATTAACATCGCCTGTTCATAATCAGCACTTAATTGTATCAATATCAGTCTATGCGCCTTATAGGCAGTCATTGTGCCCTCTGAGCCTATAAATAACTTTACCGCAAACATCAGCTGCTTCCGATAAGTCCTCTCAAAACGGGCTACGTTACGTAGACAGCGACGAAATTTTTCATTCATATCCATAATTGAATCTCGACCCGATCCCTCTGAAAACATCGATCCCTGAAAAAATGCAGGTACTCGGCATAGAGCGAATAAATCGGCGAAACAATTCCAGCACGACACCGAATATAAATTGGAAAAGTTACACAAGTTCCCTGACCTCAAGCCTAGTTAAATTCTTTATGACCTTTGTGCTTTTAAATTCCGCTCGTCTTTTTTCATGTGACTCAAGTAGGTCGAGAGTTTCGAAGTGTTTCAGGGGTTTGTTCTTTGAGAACCCTCAATGACGCTTTCATCTTTAATTAATGCTTTCGAATCAATCTACTCTCTTCGTAAAATCTATAATTGATAATGTTGTTAATCATCTACAATAAATAGCTTCATACCTCGATAAATTTGTATCATTATATAATTATTTCTCCTTGATTCGTAGGGTATCAAGCGAAGTCCAGCAAAACATGCTGGGCTTCAACATTCCACCCGAACACCAGGACATAGTTCACGAGCACTGGCGAAACTTCCCAGCGGTCGACAAGTTCTGGCACTACTGCTTGGCTCTTATCTACACAATGCTCATGGTATCGTCGTTTTGCGGCAATGGAATCGTTGTATGGATCTTTAGCACGTGAGTAAAGAAGGGGTCGACTATATGAACTATTTTTATAAGAAGTACCTTGATAAATATATTTTTTATCTACCACCAGCTCAAAATCACTCCGATCAGCGAGTAACATGTTCATCGTGAACCTGGCTCTATTCGACTTGGTAATGATGCTCGAGATGCCTCACCTCATCATGAACTCCTTCACCCAGAAGATGCTGGGTTACCAGTTCGGCTGCGATATCTACGCCACGCTGGGATCAATTTCAGGAATTGGAGCAGCAATCACCAACGCTGTTATCGCATATGACAGATATAAGTGAGATTTATTATATATTTATTTAAAAAAAAATAGAAATGCCAACATACAACTTTATGCCAAAAGCCATCCAATTATCCATCCATGATTATTAAATACTTTCTTAGTTATTTCTGCACTCCGATTTCATTAAAAATACTCAATTTGTTAAGATTAGCGACTATTTAAATCACAAATACTTTTATCTGTTCATATTCTCTACAAATTAAGTGTCCTCGTAGTGACTGTTTATTATCTTATTTTGCAGGACCATCTCTTGCCCAATTGACGGTAGGATCAACAAAGTGCAAGCAGGCATCCTCATTGCCTTTACCTGGTTCTGGAGTTTGCCATTCACTGTTCTGCCCCTCACCAAAATCTGGGGAAAGTTCGTGCCAGGTTTGTCGTATTGTGTGTCACAACCTTCTTTATAGATATAAAAAGAAGATTTGAGTGAATCGACCAATCAAAGTAAAGTTACTCATAATTATTATGAGTAACTTTACTAACAAATAATAACTTTTCATTTACTCTGAAAGCACCTAACTACGCAAAAATTAAGCTGTAAAAGAGATTTTACTCCTACTCTGTATTTCAAAGGACATGTTGAAATTAATAAAATTTATTCAGCCCTCAAAAGATCAGTCATCCTTCATTGGAAAATTGAAGCCCAACTAATGATGTGGCTTTTAATAACAGTTTGACAAATTCATTCATTTCGATAAATATGAAATGAATGAAATTGACTCTACTAAGATTTTACATAATATTATATTACAGCATAGATTAAGAAATCAAAGCCAATACATTATAGTACAAAGAATTTTAGCTCTGAAAAATCAAGCTTTAAAATTTTGTCGGTCTATTTTCGATAAAAATATGTACCCACTATATAATCTTCACTAACAACATCAGCAACTAAAATAAACATTGTTTGCATGTAATGAGCGAAGGTATAAAGCAAGTATACTTAATCCAAGATAATCCACTTGTCACGAACGCCGTTTGAGTGGCAAATCGAAATCACCCGCTCAGCCACACATAAGCATATTCAAACGAGCTATATGCATTAAGCAGATAATAATGGTTTTATACTTTTCACTCCAACTAGACAAAAATAAATACTCACTTTTTTGTAAAATTAACATAACACTAACTTGCTGTTAGCATTCTTATTTATTGGGTTGTTCTTTTTAGAGGGTTTCCTTACAACCTGCTCATTCGACTTCTTCAGCGATGACCAGGACACTAAAGTTTTCGTTGCCTGCATCTTTGTGTGGAGTTATGCTATTCCTATGGCTCTCATCTGCTTCTTCTACTCGAAATTGTTCAGCGCTGTAAGTTACTTTAAGCATTCATTTATTAAATGTTTTCCATCTAATCAAAATACAATTACGTACAATGTTTTTGCGTACTTCATTATGAATGTCATCTTCTTTTTAAGGTACGTCTCCACGAGAAAATGCTTAAGGAACAGGCCAAGAAGATGAACGTGAAATCTCTTGCATCCAACAAGGAAGATGGCGGAAAGAGCGTTGAAATCAGAATCGCGAAGGTTGCTTTCACGATCTTCTTCTTGTTCGTCTGCGCCTGGACCCCATACGCCGTAGTAACCATGATCGGTGCCTTCGGAGACAGGTTCGCTTCTAAAGATAATTTTTCAGAGGATCTCTTTCTTCTTCGAAAACCTTGTTTTTTGTTCGTCTTAATTAATAACGAACTATTTCCAGGGGTCTGCTTACTCCTCACGTGACCATGATCCCTGCCGTATTCGCCAAGAGTGTCTCATGTATCGACCCATGGGTATACGCCATCAACCACCCAAGATACAGGTGAGCTACCTCAACCTACTTCTTTATTCCATTAGGACAACAATTTATCAACCGGACAGAAATATTAATATCTTTAGCACCCATTTCAATTACATAGAACTAACACAAGCCTATTATTACAGGGCTGAGCTCGAGAAGAGGCTGCCATGGATGGGCATCAAGGAAGCTGACCCAGACACCCAGTCCACCAACGCCAGCACCACGACTCAAGCGCAATCGGCTGACGCGTAAATCACTCACCACAACATAGACAAACGACCACAGGCAATAAAAAGGAGAAGAGATCGCTTGCGCCCCTATTTTTTATACTGATGCAATATATTGTTTTCTTAATACTAATAACGTTAATACTAGTATAAGCGGAGACAATTGTTAATCATTGCGTCAAAATGTATAAGGATAGGACTTGCGCAATTTTTTTTATAGAGCGTGTTTGAGTTTGTCTACTTTAAGTGTTGATTTCACTTCTAGCTCGCTCTATTTTTGAATTGCATTAGAAAAAGACAAAAAAAACGACTGATCCCGACGACGAACGCGAATGTTTACGAAGCAAATTAAAAAGTTTTAACGTTGTTAACATTTGGTTTTATTTTGTATCTAATAAATGATTTCTTAGATGATTACATTATTTTACTTAAATACTACGTACATTATTATATTAACGTTGTATAAAATATAACTATTACGTTATTTAAAAAAAACATAGTAGGTATACATAATAATAAACCGGCAAAATACACTGATCTCAAGAAAAGAAATAAAAGAATCTACACATCATAGCATCATAATCATAAATCTTACAAACATATCACATGTCTAGAAAGACACAAATCTCTGAAATCCATACAAAATCACACTTTTACATACTTAATACATCTCATTTGTAAAATAGCTTAGTAAGTAAGTTTAATTATAATTGCTCTTATAATTATATTTTCTTTTCTTAGAGAATCTATATATACAATTTATTCATTATTTATAACGAGCGCTCGAATAGAAGTATTTAGCGGTAAAATGCAGCTGAAGTTAATAACGCGGAACAATTTTGCGATGAGATGAGAGTGGTGTCATTGATGATTTAATTGAGTTTCTAACGGCCGCCCACTGCGTCTTGCTATTTGAGTGCTACGTGGAGTAACGAAAGCTCTTCATTATGGCTCTTAGTTCACACAACCATTTTATGAGATACACAAATGTTTCATGGAATTTTTTGTGCTTCACCGGTATCTACGAGAATATGTTTCTTCCCCCTAAATGTTAGGGGTAGTCCACCCCTAAACTTTTCTTTTATTTTTTAGACAAAATTTTTAATTTCTGTATTTTCATGATACAACATACAAAAATACATATAATCCTTAATTTTCACCCTATACGATCAACCCTTATTTTTTAATAGCCATTTAAGTAATTTAATCATTTTTTCTCTCCTGAAATTATTTATATGGCAAAACAGCGTTTGCCGGGTCAGCTAGTAATACGATAAAACGGAAGCTTTAAAATTCGTAGGTCCATACTAAGTCATACGTAGCGCTTTAGCTACGTATGACGTAGTGCGGGTACTACGGTAAAAGAAACTGGAATATAAAAATTCGAAATATTTCTTCTACTTCTAAAATAGTAAAATAATTAAAGTATAGAAAAAAGACAGATGTCATGGGGACCCACAATTAATTAGGTTGAAATAAAAAACACACACTCTGTGTTTAATTAGGTTTTTATGTATTGTCTGTTGTTGACGCGAGTAATACACATTTAAATAATAAACTTTTAACCGTTTAAAACGCGAATTTTCACGCCATAATAAAATTCAAGTCTAAATAAATTAACTGATATATTTCGCGTTTTAAACTGTAAAAAGTGTTATATTTAAAAACTTTATTTTTGTGAAACATGTTTCTATTATTTGAAAAGTAAAGGAGTAATATCTACTGGTGGTATGTTTTTATATTTTATATATAAGAAACAAGCAGTCCTGTTGAAAATTGTTTTACTATATAATTACTTAAATATTTTAATAGAAAAATAACTCATTGTGAATAGGCTTTTATAGACTAAAATCTATTCTCGGGCCTAACGAATGTGAATACAATACTATAGTAAAACCTATTTTTGAATAGGTGCGATTATAAACTGCGATATGACAATTCCGTAGTTCAGATGTATTAGAATTATTTAAAAGATTATATTATCTACTGAAATATCCAAATAAAATATTTTCCTAACTCGACGTCGAAGATCTCGGGCGAGTGTCACCAAAGTTGTAGCAGGCCGCACTCGACGAGTTCGGAATACGCTTTCAATGTTCAACGACTTTGCTTTTATTTATCAATCTCTTCTTGCCGACCTCCATTCAAAAGTTTTAATAATCATTAAAGCGAGAATCACATTACAAGGAGTCAGTGCCGGTTGTTTTTCGCGGCTTCGGGTGGAAAAGGTTTTGTTAAAATGTTACATAGAATTACACTTATATTTTAGTATATAAGTCATATTACTGATTGACTTATGACCATCCATTTATTATCATCAGAGTACCAACCACTAAATTATTTGAAAGTATCGAGATTAAATACTACCACCTTGTTTTGTTAGCTAGTACCTACCACTCGTGCTTTTGGAAAGAAGTAATGCATTTAAATTAAAAAAACTTAAAACAACTTTGATAGCAATTTAATAACTGTAATTATTATCCGTGACTTTATTTAAAAAAGTTAAAAAGAGATTTTAATAATTTGATACACATTACTATATATGAATAACGGATAGTGCAGTAAATAAACATTTATATGTAATCTCAAATGAACAATAATTATTTGTTTATTAAAGTTAATATTTCTTATTAATCATAATTATATAAATCAAATCGGGGTTGCTAGGCAACAACCGCTGTAATGGTTTTAGATAGTACCAGGATCTTGCTAAGTGAATTCCCATGTACACGAAACTACATATAGACATTAGCTATTCGATCTTCCTAATTTAGCGAGAAAAATAAAATTCAATGAAACATATTGAAGGACTTGTGTATTACGCGTATATATTTAGCGCGAGTGTGTTTTTATAGTTAAAAATATATTCTAATACTACTTTACCGACTTCGCGATGCATATATGCATTGCTACTTAATACATTTATTAACTGAAATCTATAGTTGAAAACTTTTATATTTATCACAATTTATTGCACTTGAAGCAATTATACACAGGCAGGCTGTTTATACCGGGTGCATGTCCCACCCGCGATGATTTTTTCGATTCTAAATAGATTTTTAATTGAAGTACTGCACTACTGAACTGTATTAATTTTAACTGTGTAGTTATTTAAAAATAACCGGAGTTTTTAATTAGTAATACGTTTTTCTACATAATTGTTATGAAACTTCTTTTCGTTTACTACGAATCGTAGATTCAATTTACTTCCTCGTCACGTATCTAAATGGGCTTAGAATCCCGATACCTAATATTTACCTACCGAAAATCCCTTTATGTACGGACCTCAACAAGGCATTTTACGTGGATGGGCTAAAATCATTTCTATTTAAAGCTACCTAGGTTTTGGGGCCCCATTTTGTGTAGATTTTGTATTATTATTGTATAACAGCGTTATAGTTTAGACTCTATCTCCTCTCATACTCTGGATTTTAGTATATAATTCTCATTTTTATTTTTGTCTAGTGTGCAACGAAGAATTGTTACTAAATAAATAATTATAAGCCTCAGCATAAATAAAAGTCCAGTCTATTCCATGCCTTATGCATAATGATGATGAGGTCACAATTATTTAGAAATAATAAAAAATATTTAATTCTAATTCCTATTTTCTCGTCGAACTCTGTAATTTTATCTTCATCATTCTATCAATTGCTTAATGCACCAGCACGGAAGGCTGTTACAAGGTACAAGTTTTGCCATTTTGAATTATATAATGTCATGTAGAAAATATAAAAGTGGAATATTTGCAGCATTGTCTGTAGTTTTGTCAAAAACTTTTTCAAAAACGTCAAAAGATTTTAGACGATGTGCAGCAGCAGTGGTCACTGACCGACGTTGACTACTTTATTACGCGATTTAAAAATTTACTTGAGGCCCCAAACTTGATAACCTCCGAATACAACCCTGTACGAACTATTCGACGATTTCCTTTTACAGCTGAGAAAGGTTTTCCGTTTAACAATCCGCTGTCGGGCGCGGCAGGCCGGTTTCCGTCCTATTTAATTCCTTTACTGAACTTAAATGGAACTCTACAACCGATTATATTATGTGCGATACGATCACATAATTTCGTCCAAAATAGGGGATATAGGGGATTAACAACACGCCTCTTTACTTCATACTTAAGTTAAAGAAGCGTTAAGTTTAACATAGGTGTTAATAAGATAAATATGCGTGTTTCATTTTAAAGACTGTATTTAAATTAAATAAAAGAATTCGATAAAAATAGACATACTATAAACAAGTGTTTTACATTTTCTGTCAATTGAAATATAATGCAGATTAAAAAAGTTGAATCATCAACTTTTTTGCATCAGCAAGCGGGATTCGAATCCTCGAGCCATTATGCCTTTGTTCATCGAACATCCATTTTTTCTTTGGAATTCAACTATTTGGGACCTCTCGCAATCCTTAGTAATTCGTTTAATCAGTCGGGTATATGACTGAGGCGTTTAATTTAAGCAATATGGAAGCTTATTCAGAAATAATGCCAAAAATATAATAACCACGTAAACATTTTTTCATAACGAACGCGGTAGATGTAGTAGTAGCAAGTACTTTTTTGTCCTACATTTTAGTACGTATCACATTTCAAATTGCAGCCAAGATTTTTCTTGATTCTAAAGACTCGAAATGTGAATCTGTTTTATTGGACTGAGCCCAAACAAATAAACAGTTTTCGTTTAAACCCTCTGAGATATAGAAGATTTACAATTTTAAATTCTTAGTCTCTACAGAGGAACCTGAAGTAAAGCTATCGTTTCGGATCTGAAATAAAGAAACTTTTAATACGTAATATAATACCGCATTAAATCAACCATTTTTAATCATACCGTTTACATACATGATCCGTTACGTTACGTTACGTGTTGGTAGCAATCAATAGCAATAGATCAACGGGATTTGGGTTCGAGTCCTTCCGGTCCAACATCATCTCAAATTATGCCTTTACTAAAACATGTTAGAAATGGGAGCGTTCAATGGGTGTTAGGAAATCGAAATTCTAGCAATATAGGTCGATAG